CAGCAGGTTATCAACGGCCATTCCGTCTAACGTGTCGCCTCTGCTTTTCATTTCAGAGGAGGTGTTCGGATCAAACAAGGCTTTATGGTTCTCGCCGAGCGGTACTAAACTGGCGTTCGGTTACTTCGACGACAGCCGCACGCCGGTCATAACGATACCGTTTTACGGCTACCCGGGCAGCCTGACGTTCCAGTACACGTCCGCGATCTCGATCCATTACCCGAAGGTAAGCGTCCCAGCCGGGATCGGGCTTTTTTGCATTCCGTTTTGATACACAGCACGGGAAACGGCCCGCCGGACCGTGGCCTCCCGCACCGGGGAAATGGCCGGAGTTGATGGTGCTCGGGACATTGTGCTCGGATTCAAGCGTGTTCCTCGGGAATTCAGATCGGATAAGGACTGCGGCGTTGGAGAGGAGCTTGCGGACACTTGAACGGTTTCGTTTGACGATCCGGGGAATGCGGTTCGGGGAGATTCGAAGGAAATTCGGAAGCAGGTGGAAGGATGCGGGGGTTAATCCCTTGGCCTATGATCTTTTTTACAACTCTGATCTATATGGCCACTTTGTCATTAACCCTTTGACTGCTAAAAGCGTATTTTGTTATGATACTGAAATTACCAGTCGAAATGACCTGTTTTTTAACGATATCTAGGGGATCGTGATAGAATTGAATTTGAGGTTGGGGTTTCATCTGTGGAGATGATTTTAGAATGATTTAACCCTTAGCACTGCAAGTTATTTTGTAATCTATCAGTAACTGCAACTAATTTTTATAGTACTCCTAGCGTAAATGAGAAATGAACATTTCTTCGATCTTTTATTTTCATTCTCAGTACAAAATTTGGTTGTGTGGTGTTAGGTACTCGTAGTTACCGTAATGGTGGTCGAGCTTTGTAGGCGTTTGCACGTGGTGTGCCGACTAATAAACTTGTATGTCTCGAAGGACCACCCGATAAGATCGGGAACAAAACTTAGAAATGAGTAGGAGGTGATGCGGACTTTGACTCTAATGCTATGCGCTTGATCGAAATTGCTACTTCATACTTTGTAATCCTTACTTCCTACTCCGTACTCTGTGCTATGTACTATGTGAGTTGATACTTGTCTAACTATGTGTTTCCGACTTGTGTTTCTGACTATGTGTATTCACTGTGTGTATCAACTGACTGGACCTCCCAGAATCGTCCTCGACGACACCTCTGCAATGTCGTCTTCGCGGGGGTGAAAACGTTCTGGTTGGCCCTTTTAGATCTAGATGGTTGTGGAAGGGAGACACAGTTCCCTCCCTTCTTGGGTCTTCCAAGTTGCTAATGTTAATAACTAATTCGTCCCGTTCGCAATCGTCGACCGTGGCAGGTAAAAAGCAAGAAACGCTTTGGCCTTAATAACACATGCTAACAGACGGGCTAGAGAGTTAAAAATGCTGGTAACTGGACGCCAGATGTGAACAATAGACAAGGAGAATCTACAGCAAGAATCGCGGGCCTTATGGGTTCAGGGATTTATTGCTGCCACGGCCCTTTCTCGTAATACCGTAAGGACGATTGCAAGTTGCGAACGGGACGAAGGCTCTTATTGTTACGAAAAACTACCAAATGTACAATAAGTCTTAGAAAAGATAAAAAGTGCATAGAAAACTAAAACTACGATGGTTTAAGGGCTTGAACGAAACGGTAAGGCTATAAGTGGCCTTAACATGTGGAAAATCTAATAATTTTAGGGTAGTTTCTTTAAGATTCATTAAAATGTTTAATATTACAACTGGTGCAATATTGGAGCCTAGATAATTCAAAGGGTTAACAGTGAAACTACTGGATAAGTCAAAATTACCTATTCCTGGTTTCTCCTTTTTGCAATGATTGCAAAGGTTGCATGTTTCTTTGAGAAACTACTGAAGAAATTGATTTAGCAGTACGCAGATTGAATTATAAATTAACCCTTTGCGGACGAATGTCGAACTTTCGAGATGAAACGTTCATACTTGGAAGACTAAGCCGTGGCAAATGACTGAATTACTCGGACAGCAAGAGATTAGCATGTTTCTGTTTTTGCTATTATTTAAGCAATTAATATATAATTCAGCTTCATCTGTTGAAGGTTTCGTACATTTCAAAGGACCTTCGTCCGCAGAATTAAAACTTCGATAGATGCATTCTTGAAGTTTCTATAACTGAATTTCGAGAAGTCGAGTTAGCTGCTTTTAGGTTCACGTTGTATATTTTATAACCAGATTATGCAATATAGGACATAGGTTAGCTGTAGATAAACACTGATAAATGAATGTAACCGCAGTGAAACGCGTAGCAAAGATAAAGAACAACTTAGAGCACTCGGACTGCCTCCTCCGAGCTTAGCACCCCGAAAAAGTTTCTTCGAAAAGTAGCACGGTTCCCAAGTAATATTTTACGACTGAAAAACCTCCGAAGATCAAGAAACACGAAATTCCACGGGAACACCGGAGAATCCTCAAATCGATTTCCGCAAGAGAAAGAAACCGCAAAAACGCGGCGCTTCTTCTTCCGCGCTGAAGACCAGCGTCTCGGAAGCCTTGAAATTTGGTAGAATTCCGTCGAGGCGCCGGCTCGTTTATCTTCGGCAAGTGTTGAGCCTTTTTATGAAACAATTCCGCGGGAAAAGAAATAGAGGTCGTGGGGTAGGCAACGCCGCCAGGGGAGAAAAAAATTAATATCACCGGGACCGTGTTTCGCAGCTGTTTCGCGAAGTTCAATTTTTGCCTGGCCGCGGCGCGCGCAATCCGAAAAAACCGGCTGTGCGTTTAACGCTTCGGATTCCGCCATTTTTTCGCGCAACGGACTCCCTCCCCCCTCGCGGCCAGGTCTACCCCTTGTTTCCCTTTTTCTTCGTTTGTCCCGGTTCCTCTTTTTTCCGGGCGGCTCGCCGCCGCGTAATTTTAAACGGAGCCTCTGAAGGGAAATACGTGACAAGCCCACTTGGCCCCGAACAAAAATTACCGGCCGGCCGCACTTAGAAGTTATTTAATCCGGCCCGAGAGGACTTTTCATTACAACTTCAACAATTTCCCGGCCGCCCCATCCGCGCCTCGCGAGCTACCTCGCCGGCCGCCATCGCACACGCCGTTCAACTTACACAATTTAACTTACACAATCCGCGCCGCCGTGTGTGTAAACCCGCCCCTCCCCTGTGCCGTCATTAAAACTCGCTCAGAACCCTCTATAACTGTCCCAGATACAACGCGTTTAAAGCCGACCGTGGATTTTCAACTATTTCGAGGATTCCCGATCTGACACCCGCGTTCGCGCGGACTCGACGAGGAACACTCGAGTTGCCTTCGACGCGGTTGTCGCTTCTGGTCGACTCATCGATTCGAGCATCGACCAGATTCACGGTTGATTGCGACGAAATTTTTGCGCGAGTCGGAGGATCGGGTTTTCTGAATGTTCCAAGGTTTGGCGAGTCGCTTTGAAATTGTGTTTTCGAGTTCGGGTACTTTGACCTGTTGATCGTGTGTTCTTCGATCGGTTTCTAGTTCCAGTTTCGAATTTTCGAATCGATTTCCTTTCTGATGCGAGCTTCAGATTTTCAAACTTTCTTTCGAACTCAAATCGCAAATCAAGTCTCATTATTCTAAACATTCGAAACTGCATTTTCGAGTTCTGGTCCTTTAACCTGTTGATCGTGTGTTCTTCGATCGGTTTCTAGCCCGAGTTTCAAATTTTCGAACCGATTTCCTTTCTGATTCGAGCTTCAGACTTTGAAACTTCCTTCGAACTCAAATCGCAAGCGTTCAAATTTCTAAATTCTTCGAAAGTCCCGAGTCTCATTGTTCTAAGCATTCTTTCAAGTTCAGCGAACCCCACGAAACACTAATAACACCTTCCAAGGGTATTTCTCGGCCGACAAATCTTTCGCCATTACAGCCCGCGTCCTCCAATCTCGCAGATCCAAATCCGTCTCAGCAAACAGCTGCGCCAGCCGAAATGAAGTTCGCGCGGCGCTCTCAGCCGCCATTTTCCTCGTAGTAAAACTCATTTGGAACTTCCGTTTTTAACAGGGCGCAGCGTTCCGCTTTGTAGCGGAACGTTCTTTGTGTGTCCCTTAATACGTCGCGGTTCGTGTGCCGGGAAGGGCGTTGGTCAGAGATATGAGGGCGGGCGACAAGGGTGTAAATGGGTTCGGCGGTGTCCGCGGAAAGAATTTAATGCGACGGGGACTAAGTAAATCTCGCGTGTCGCGGACGTTTATCCTGGCTAGGTAGGTGCCGGCACGCGCGACAGAGAAAAAGGAAAGGGCGCGGAATCAGGGGAAATTGCTCGCGCAGGTCTCGAAGTCCGTAACACGCGAACCTCGCTTTTAGTTTCTCCAATAACGGTCCATCCCTTTCAACCGAGACATTTTCCTCGCGGCGCACAATGCTGCAATGGACAAAACCCTCGAATTCGACTTTTATGTTGTAACACACGGAAGGCTTTGCGTGAAAGTCGTTGGGTTCTTGAAAGTCAGTTGTGTAATAAATTATTCACGGAAAAATAGTTTCATCTATTTTCTTTCGTTAATTTCTTTGTATAATAAATTATGCTTTTCTAGCATCAATCGTAATACACGCAAGGATTTCGGTAAGGTTATTAATAAATTATTCACGGAAAAATAGTTTCATCTATTTTTCTTGTTTCATCACTTTATTGTAACTACACAGATTTTTTAGGACTTTCGTACAAAGTTCGGTTTCGAGAGGTTTGTGAAAGTTGCGCATTTACGGAGTTGTCTTTCGAGAGGTTTCGTAGCGTTGTTTGGTTCTCTGTTGAAAATGAGAATGATAACATAAAATGGGCGATTATAGTAACGGTATGTAAGGAATTATTAATTTAAACAAGTAATAACGCACTGAACGAATCAGTATTGAAGTGCTCGTTCTTAATAAACAGTTCAATAATTTTCCGACATAGCAGCAGTCGAAAATAAATAAATGTTACTCTACTAAAAGAAAGAACAGCCATGTTTCATTCCAAGATCTTACGAAATCTCAAAGTTCCCCGGTTTCCGACTACCATATTTCACGAAGGGAAATTTAAAAATGTCTAATCCCGCGAAAGTAAGATAAGTATCGCGATAAAACCCCAAGATCTCTCAGACGGTCGAATAAAATCATTAAAATATGTTTCTCTCGGGTGTCGGTCGTTGAAACTTTCCGTTTGGAGTTGCTACTTCGCGAGAACGTCCAATAGAAATATTATTGCGCGATAGTT